TATAATCAACCTCTACATAGTATGCGCCGCGCATCCAACTTTCCAGCCGAGAACTGTAGAGACGTTCAATGTTGACTTCGAGCAATTAGATGCTCTTGATTTATCGTGCAAAGCGATGCTCTGTGGGCGGCAGCTTGATAAAGGACACACCTTCATAGGTTTCGAAAACTGAATTTAGTGGTGCACGCTTGATTTCCATTCACGTTTTTTAGGCGGCGATGTTCTGGAGCAATAAGCCCAGCTTTTTTCCGTGAGATGAAATTTATTCCTTCCAGATCGAGAGCAGTACGTGTCTCATTTCTTCTCGTCGCAGCCTACATCATTTGCTGGTTGCCGTATAATCTGCTGAGTCTCGTTCATCTTATTGACAAAGAGCTCTTCAGCAATAGCTTTATCAAGGTACTTCTATTCGTACTACTTCTAGGCTACCAAATCAACTCTTTGCATTTCAGTTCTATTTCTTACACGAGTTCATGGTGTTCAATTCGGTCGTCAATCCATACCTTTACGGCTTATTTAGTCGTTCCGACAAAATACGAAGACGAATTCACGAGTAACTCTTGCAGAAGGGCAAGCCTACAAGCACGGGTCAACGTTGATCTCCAATAAATCGTAATCAAATAAATTTCATTCATTTGTATGGTAGACTATAAACATTGTCACAACGCGCTAAAACACTATCCGAACAGCGACACTTGCAAATAACAAACTGCCTCAATGCCGCTATGAATGACAACGACACATAGACATTTATTACAAATATCTAGAAGACAACAACAAACACGTGAAAGAATAAATTAAAGATATATGAACAATTAGAAGAACATGGCAGCCATGCCTCCCATTTCTTGTTGCTCTTTGACAAAGATCTCGAAATATTGATAGATAATCGTGACAGCGAGAAGAATACCAGTTCCACTTCCTATCGCTCCCATGAAATCTGCAGTTACTGAGAGGGCTCCAATACACAGGCCACCGAAGGCGGCTGCCGTTGGGATGTACCGGTTGAGCTCGTGGATCATCGACTTCTCTCGGTGACCACGCATCACCATCTGCTGTTCCTTCAGTTGTTTAGCTACGTCCTTCGCGGAAGAACCGGACACGTCGATCCATGTCTTTGAGAAGAATGCACACGATCCAAGCATAAACACTATGTAGACAATGCAATGGATTGGATCCTCAAGCACATGAGAGAGTGTATCAGGTGGAGAGAGATAGTAGCAGATACCTAAAAATCTCAGGTTAATATGATAACTTTACTTTTGGCATTACTAGAGAGAAGAAACGCGAGTAAATCGCACCTCCAGTTGGGTAACTACGGTAGCTTCCAGAAGCATCTGACCATGTTCCGAGGAGGTTCACAAGGAAGTTTCCTCCAAACTTAGCTGCGAGCATCTGCAAAATTTTACAATGAATTACATGAATACGTTGTCAGCGGGAGCGAAAAGTGGTATGGTAAAACAAACCTGCGAAGATTACGTAAAGGTTAGAGACAAGAGCGGATTGGAGAATAATCGGGATGTTCGAGGTGTGTAGAAAAGCTTGATGGGATAGCTGCTGTACTGCCCACGATACCGAGCAGATTTGATTGGGAGATCGACACGGAAGCCCTTAAGTTATAAAATGAGCGAAATCATACAAAGTTCTAGAAAAATTAAGTACCTGGAAGTAAATGACAACACCGAAAACGACGAAGGTAGCCATCAGATTCATCAGATTTGGTAAGTTGTTACGATAGAAAGCTTCGCGGAGAGCTCGAACCTGGAAAATAATCTCTCTTCAACAACTTTGCTCATGCAAGAAAGCAACCTCCAAACCTGAAAGCAACATACCTTGTCAGTGCGAGTAGCCAACAGATGGAACAATGCGATGACGGCACCTTCGAATTCCGTTCCTCGACCTGTGTTCATAGTTGCGGGCGAGAATGCCTTCCACACAATGGTCAAAATGTTAGGTGAGCGATGAAAAGAGAATTCCAGACCAAGGCCATAAACTTTCTGCTAAAAAAACAAATGAACAGGTTAAGCACGAATTAGCGATTTTGATGTATCATGGGTGCTTGTGGTCTCTTGTTGTTTCTTATCTTAACCGCCATCGCTTCTTCACCTCTGTACACTAACAATTCTTTTTTTTGATCTTCTTCAAGGATTTAGTGTTGAAGACTCATTCATATAGCTTTATTGGCAAGCTTTCGCTGTATTAACAGCTTCTTCAGACCTTAAAATTACAACTCAAGTATACAGCATACATCATTCTACAATTCTTTAAAGCATTAGCTCACGAAAACACTAACCAGACTGGTGACCGTAGTTCGTTAAATTCTGTAATACAATATATACAGACTATTAACAACACAACTCAACACAACGGCTTACCCCGGCACTACTCCCAAGCAACTAAAAGTTACTATGAATGCGATGTGCGTGACTAATGTAAGCTGTTCTGTATCGCTACCGCTAAGATATTAACCTCAATGCCTCCATGAGCTCATCCCTGTTGTTCATTTCGGGGGATAAGCGCTTAATAGCAAGTGCTTCAAGCAGTTTCCTTTCTAATGGGGCATCCTTTGTGCGGTGTAATATGGTAACTTTCAGGGTAGGGGGTGCTTCCTGTCGGTGGCACAGTACACGATGTCGCGAGAACGCACTTCTTGGATAGGAAGATGGGTTCCGCAGCGCTCGTGTATGTTCATCCATCCGCTTTTGTAACGGACGCTTCGTTTCACCAACGTATTTCTGACCGCATCCTTCACATGTGACCAGATAAACTGTTCCACGTAGCTGACAGATTTTATGTTCTCGACGCAGTACGTACAGTTGTTCCGGCCACATTTTCTTCATAAATCCGTGATGATGTCAGCAAGCTTTTCAGGTTCGTAGGCGGTCGAAATATCAGTTGGACTGGAAGGCCTGACGACCTTATGACATGGGTTCACCTTCTTTGCTACCCTTTCATTGACATACGGTAAAACTAGCGGTGTTCCTCCTGTAGCAAAGAATGGGCGCCATGTTCTTGGTTGTTCCGTCGTATAGCCATTCTCTTCCAAGATTCTTGCAATTTTTCGATCCACCTCTTCTGATGCTCTAGTACAGGTCCTTGTCTTCGTCGCCATAAGGTTTCTTATGACGTTGGCTTTCATGTACAACGGATGTGCACTTCGAGAATGCAGAAGGATATTCTTTGACATCGGTTTCTTATACCACTCGAATTCCTTCGTTCCATGGGATATCCGAACTCTTGTGTTTAAAAACGGGAGGTAGCCGCATTCATCTGGGCACTCTACAGTGAAACGTATGTTTGGATCACACGAGTTCAGCTTTCTGAAGCATCGTGTACGTATCTTCAACTGTAGATCCGATTACGAAGAACATCGTCTATATAGCGCTTATAAAACACAATTCCTTCGGTCAGAGACCTCCTTTCTATACGATCCAAATAGACGATCGCTAGTAGCGGCGAAATCCTCAATCCCATGGCAAGACCTCTTTTCTGTGAATAGAACGTTCCATCGAACTGGAAGATGTTACATTTTAACGTAGCTAACAAGAGCTGTCGTAGATCTTCCTCCATCAGTCCGAACGAATGTGTTTCTTGTCGATTTCGTCGTAGAAGCTCTATCACAGAATGTACGGCCTCGTTTTTGTCCACGTTCGTGTATAGAGAAACCGCGTCGAAGCTTGCGTAAAATGCGTCATCAGGTATTTCACAGCGGTCCAAGGCTGATATGAATTCTCCTACGTTGACTAGGTGAGCCGCTACATGACGTAGTAGCGGTGATAGGAGCTTCGAGAGGAACCAGCTGACTCTATCCGATGGCCCACCGCATGAAGAAATTATTGGTCTGGTCTTGATCAAGTTTTCATCAATCTGGCATAAATCATCGTCTTCAGAAAACTTGTGCGTTTTGACCAACGCATAATACGTAGGTACAGCCGGATATGTCAGAAGAAAGCGTTTAACTGTCCTCACATCCATAATCTTGCCTAAAACTCGCGCTGTGGTAAGCCGAAGTTCATTAGACACCTTCTCGAATTCTCGAAACGATGACCTTTCGTATGTGCTTCCGTCAGAGAGACATCGACGTCCAAGTCTTTTGTCCATTTCTTGTGTGAGGACAACAAAATCTCCGCTTTTGTCACTCACACTGTATCGAAGATTGTTTTTGAGGAGCAAAAGCTTCTTCAAACCACGTCTCTCCTCTTGGGTTAGATTTGATGCAAACTTTGCTGACGATTCGTTCGCATAAATTTGCACCAGCTTCAGTTGAAGTGACGCTAGTGTGGGCTCCATAGCTGCTACTGGTTTCGGTGCTGACACCGATGTTCCCGGGAAAGGTACAGATGCAATGAAAGACGATAACCTGTCCAAGACTGTCGGATTTGAATTCTCCTTCCATCGAATCTGGTAGGCAAATTTGTGGAAGGCACAGCACTGAATCCATCACTTCCTGGTTTACAGCGGTTGATACGGCGAATGATGGTTCAAATCTGGGTTTTGAATAATTAATCCCAGCAACTGTTATATCCATATTACCCAATGACCTCCATTCTGAACCTACACAATTCCACAGGCATCTCACTTATGAGGAGACACTATGAAAATCATCGGAGGATGCTCCAGGTAAATCTTGCAAGTTTAGCATGACAACGGTTGTTGCAAGTTTACTAATTCACTTTGCCTTAAGATTGTTAGGCAAATTTGCATCGACACTTTCCGCTCGTTCGGATAACAGTGAGCCTCCAAAAATGACATTTAGTTAAAACATTGGGGCATTCTAGTGATGTTCCACCTAACAACCTCGCAAGGCACAAGGCAACTAAAAAATATGCTGGTCCCCATATTTTATTTGAATAAAGTAGCGGACGAATCACCAATAAAGAACTCACCTGTAACAATTCATCTAGTAGAAGCACGATAAGCCCAGCGATAACTAGCTGCACAACAATAAGCAAGCAAATTCCAGCGCCAATTTCAGCTGGATCTCCGTAGAGGCCGGACATCACGTAGACAATAGCTTGTCCAACGGTGATCACCATACCGAACACTACAACATAGAAAATAGTTTTGTTTGTAAGATAGTCTTAAAAATAAAGGAAACTACCAGATGATTAGCCTACATTTTTGCGCTCCGTTGAAAAGAGCCCGATCTTTCGGTGTATCTCCAACCTCGATGATCTTCGCACCAGCCAGCAATTGCATAATCAAACCGGATGTTACGATGGGTGAAATTCCCAGTTCCATCAATGTACCTCGATTAGACGCCAAAATAACTCGCAGCCAATAGAAGGGATCAGCAGAGTCGGTCGACATGATACCTGAAATAAGAGCAATCATAGACGATATGCTCTCTGTATACAGAAAAAGGAATCTTATAGATAACCATGATTCTAAAATAAATCATAGCTATCCATTAGGTCAACAAAAACACTTGATTTTTTAGCGAAGTTTCCTAGCAAAGTTATACAGTTTCTTTGGCACAACTCATGAATGAATGCCTTACTTGAGTTAGAGTTAGTTTGGGCGGAAGTGGTGTAGTGGCAAGTGGCACGCTTACCACGCGAGCGGTCCGGGGATCAAATCCTGGGTCGTGAGTCGCCCGGGCCAACCAAGCCTTCCATCCCTCCGGGGAATTGGTACCAGACTTGTCTGGGAGGATAAAAACACTGACTTGTACATCGGCTGGCCCCCGCAAGTCATTGTATAGGCCACATCGCATTCAAACGCCACTACGAATGTACAAATGGAAGTAGAATGCGTGCCGCATCCCAAAAAGGGATTGATCAACGGCAAATGCTTTATCCTTTTTATCTTTACTTGAGTTAGATGGTTTTTTGACTCCACTCATGAGGAAACGCATACTGAGATCCCTCCCATCACGCTACTTGTAGTGATAGTCAGAACAATTTTTTTCTCACCACTGCATCTACTACTTTTACTTTACTTTTACATTCTGCATCTACTTTGCGAAGCCCAAACAAGACTCCCTCTCTGGTAAGTGTCCTTACTTACACTTAACACCAACACAAGCACAAGCTGAACGACGCTCCTTTAAGACCCTAACTAGTTCTGCTCGTACGGTTAGAAAAACGGTTTTAACTGTACTGATTACAAGAACTACATGATGTTCTAAATAGATGTTGTAATTGGAAGTGATAGGACGTACCAAAAAGTGGAATCTGGCAGCAGACGAGGAACACAAAAAGTGTGATAGCAGTCCATAGCATTTTCTCACGGAACTGGATCTTCCTTTCCGGCTTCGACACCTCCGGCACAAAGCCGCAAAACGGCTTCACAAACTCGAGGAATTTTACTGAAAAGTTTCTCATTAATCATGCAGCTGAAATCAAATGGTTTTGCTATTGCAATCACTACTACAGTAACTACTTCCTTTTCCATTTCGTTCACTTTAGCTACAGATTTCACTGTAGCGTACTAAGAAGAACACAACATTAATTAGGATTCTTACAGGAATTACAGATGTTATAAAGATAAGTCTACAGAAAATAAAAGAAGATAAGGTGACTTACTTCCCATTTTGACGGAGGAGGCTGTCCGATTCTTCCTTCAGACGTGTTGTTACAGTGATAGGACTAAGAATTATTAAGCACGGCTAGCTACTCACGGAGACCCTCGTCAACTCGTACGCGTCCTCTGCAAAACGCAATCTGCCAACACGCTACCGTAATCAACTGCAAGGAGAAAACAATGAAGGATGAACTGCAAGCCGACAACAAATCCTGTGGGAGGGTGGACATTCTAAAAACTATTCCACATACGTTACCGTTGTAATGAGAAAGATAACAACGCTGAATAGTAGCAAAACAGTTTTATATAGCAAAAAAGTAGAAAAATCGCTTAAAGGTCGAGCAAACTGCAAGGTCCGAGCTGTAAATTAAAGGACATTTCTCAACTAGAGCAGTGTTTCCTGTGCGGAATATGTACCGTACCTTTCGGCTAGATTCCGCTTTTCTATTTTTCGCCTGCGTTTTCCGCTTGTTTTAAATACTTTATCCATGATATTCTGGAGAATTCCTCAATTCATCTCATCTACAATGAAAGTGCTTCTGGCCCTGGTTAATTTTTTGGGTTTCTACCTAGTTAAAGATGAGGGGAACTCCTGAGTTTGGTTTTTCCTCGCTCGTGTGCTTTGCGACATGTAGTAAGGTCTCGTAGTTGTTGTCGGATATTC